TTGTTCTTCCTTGGTCCTAACCCGTCCATAACAATCTATCTATCTATCTATCTATCTATCTATCTATCTATCTATCTATCTATCTATCTATCTATGTATTTTATGTGTTGTATCAAAATTAATCCTACGTCTTTGTATCATTTCTTGCTGTGTAGACATTTTTCTTAGCACGTGGTGGTAGAGCTTGCCAGAAGCGAGTTATTTTTTTTTTTAACTTACTTTTTTCTTTTTTGAATGAGTACAACTACAGTGCAACAAAAAAACGAACTTTACAAGATTTTAGTGAGTGCGGTCCAAGGTGTGCGGGTGTAGGCTGTTGGAGGTTGAGGTGGAGGAGTGACGGGCAAAAGCTGTTCTTTGCAGATGCCAGATTTGAAATAAGTAAACGACGGCCTCGTCGAGCACCTGCCGTCAACACTGTGGCTTCCTTGAAGCGAGGGGAGATGTTGGAAGCTGCTGCTGCTGCTGTTGTTGATGCATCACGAGACTGGTGGGGCGGACAGAGAGAAATCGATAATCGCAGAAAAGCAAGTAGAAAACAATCCACCCAGTAAAATCGATACCCCTACCTGTGCGACAACGCACGCATACGTATAACTGAACTGCATACACACACACATCTACATACATTTATACATTCATATATATATATATATATATATATATATATATATATATATATATATATATATATATATATATATATATATAAATATATATGTATATATAGAAGAAAAAAAAGAAAGGGAGAGATACATATTTTGACGACTATAACGAGAGAAGAATGAAACAAAACGTAGAAGATATATATATCCATGCATACACATATATAGGTCAATTAAAGATAAGCGAAAGTGTATATAAACACAACCCCACCATATATATATATATATATATATATATATATATATATATATATATATATATATATATATATATATACGAATCTTTTAAGAGGCAGGAAAAATACCACAAAACGGATGCATATCAAAAATGCTCGATGCAGATATATATGTAACTTTGAAATTCAGTGTTATACAAAAAGTTGAAGATATATATAAATCTGAGTACTGTTGTTATAAACCGAGCACTGCTTTAATACCATCAGCTCTCAGGTGACCTACTTTATATATATATATATATATATATATATATATATATATATATATATATATATATATATATATATATATGTATATATTATTTAAATTTTATTTTATTGGATGTTCATAAATATTATGTTCGGTAGAATATATATTAAATATTATATATATATTTATTAATCTGAACATTATTTAAGATGGATATATATATATATATATATATATATATATATATATATATATATATATATAATAATCCGTAATCTTAATAATATAAAATATCAAAACTGATACACAAAAGATTGCTCACAGTGTATTTATGAATAAATAAATAAATAAATTACATAGATAATATATATTTTATGTAAAATATTTATTGATATAAAGGTTGCTTTTTTTGTGTATGTATATATATATATATATATATATATATATATATATATATCTTTTAAAACTTGGCTAGTGATTAGAAAATATTCACATGCTTTAGCTTATTCTTATTCTACGAACGACGAATTATATATACCTATATATATATATATATATATATATATATATATATATATATATATATATATAAATTCCTTTTGTGAATGTTAGTTGTGGCATCCATCTATATGAAAAACAAACGATGTTAAATAACAGTAAGATGTTTTAATATCATGCCAACTGAGACAAGGCGACTTTTCTTCTTGCAGATGTTATTCTCAGTAATCGACATATTTTAAAATCTCACTGTTCATTTCTATCTATCTATCTATCTATCTATCTATCTATCTATCTATCTATCTATCTATCTATCTATCTATTTCAGTGTTCATTTCTATCTATCTATCTATCTATCTATCTATCTATCTATCTATCTCAGTGTTCATTTCTATCTATCTATCTATCTATCTATCTATCTATCTATCTATCTATCTATCTCAGTGTTCATTTCTATCGATCTATCTATCTATCTATCTCAGTGTTCATTTCTATCTATCTATCTATCTATCTATCTATCTATCTATCTATCTATCTATCTCAGTTTTAATTTCTATCGATCTATCTCCGTGACCATTTGTATCTATCTATCTATCTATCTATCTATCTATCTATCTATCTATCTATCTATCTATCTATCTATCTATCTCAGTTTTAATTTCTATCGATCTATCTCCGTGACCATTTGTATCTATCTATCTATCTATCTATCTATACATACATACATTATTACAATCATTTCCAATCATATATACATACATACATGCGTACACACACTCACCCAAAAAGACACACGCACACATACATATGTGTGTGTATGTGTTTGTTCATACATAAATATTAATGATGGTATTTTCAGTGACAATGTCTATAAATCTGGGCATCCTTAAGAGAACAACTGAACTCTGTTTTTGGAACACATCCAATATTTTTATGCTCCGTTCTCCTTGTATAAACGTCACTCAAAACTAACCCCGACTCGTTTCAATTTAGGGGAAAAATTAGTCAGTCACGTGTTAGATTCCTGCTCTGTTTTGACCAATCAGTCAAATCTTGTTAGAAATATCGTATGTCGCCAAGTTTTCAAAGTGTTTGGAGGACCAGCATAGAAGTCTGCTTATGGAATCACCCCACAAAAACTTGTGAATGCTTTCTTTAATATTTTCTGTTAAAATTGGTCCGTCATGGAACTTAGTGTCAAGGAACATAGGGTGTCTGTGATTGTCTCACTAAAAACACGACCACTTAACTAAAGTTTTTATACGATTTTCCACTGATGCAAATATATTCACATTGTTTAAATAAGAGAAAATGAAAGTTCGAATATTTTTCCCCGCCAGACTTTCAAGTTTGATGGGAATTTGTCTGCATTGAAAGGACTTCAGGTTTAATTTATCTCAAACATAGCTTACTTTTTATAAACATAGTGCCGTATATGGAATCATGCCGTTCGATTATTAAAGAACCATTTTAATAATACTGACGCGAATTTATATATGAACTGAAAAAGATTATTGGCAATTTCTGATTTTTATACAAGTTTAAATATGAACTTCTCAAATTAGTGTGAATTACAGAACTATATTAAGGACTTTATTAAGGACTATCTCAAGGCAAATTTAGTTTGATAAAATCCCTCAGCGGAGGAAACGCTTCTGCTAAGGTAAATTTTTCTTTATTTATATTGTCCTCTACGCTATTAACAGTATTAAACAACATTTACCGGCCTGAATATCCGCTAAATGTTGTTTCATACTGTTTATTATAAACAGAACATTTATTTAATATTGGTATCTATAAAAAGAATGTATAACCATAAAAAATATCTTAAAATAATTGTTGGACTTTGTCCATTTTCATTATATATATATATATATATATATATATATATATATGTGCGCAGGTATGCAGAAAATAGAAAATAACACGTTGGATGCATAATCCGGAGTTCCTTAGTATTTTTGTTTTTATTTTTAAGAAGACAGTGCTTCATACAGAAGTAGAGCTTATATTATAATATTTTTTGTTTAAAAATATGATTCCTTCGCTACATAAGAGTTCTCATGTTTCAAAAACGAGAACCGAAGCCATCCAAATAATTATTAAAGTTTCAAAGTATGCTATATATATATATATATATATATATATATATATATATATATATGCATGTTTCATTAAAAACAACAGACAAGGTACTCCGGTTAAGCATTTTATTTTATTTTTCTAGTGTTCTAAAAAGAGCTTATAATAATAACGATAGTGAACACATAGTCAAAAATCACATACACATTTATTACAAAAACAAAATGTATATTAATTACAAACAAGACGAATCTTCTCTAAGGCATATTATAAAGAAATATACTACTCCAATTGACCCGAATAAAAAATCAAATTAATTATGTATTATAAAAAATTTAAGACAGCTAACCTTATCCTCGAAAATAACAACACGCCAACTAAGTCAAAATTACAAAGAACGAACATTATCTATGAGTTCAAATGCCCCTTAAGAAACTGTGTTCCGGATCAAACCTCGACTCAAATAATTACATCGGTTACACAACCACATGCTTATCCAGACGTCTTACGTTACACCTATCTGATCACAGCTCCATTAGAACCCATTTAAACACACACACACATTTAATAGACTCCATTAGAAACATACTAGTAGAAAACACAAATATATTAACTGCATCCACCTGCAAAAAAAGACTAAAAATAATGGAAGCTTTAATAATAAAAAAGAAAAAAAGCCAACTCTTAACAATATTAACTACGAACAAAGCCAGAATGTGCTAACCGTATTCGGAAATTAAAAACACATACAAAGACATACACAGAACGCACACACTCAATTAAGTTGAAAAATCGAATCATCCTCGATAATGGCTAAAGGTATAGCCGAAAATGCTCGGAAACATTTGAACAGTTCTTACACACCCTTTGTGCAGAAAAGAAAGCTCTTGTTAGAACACAAGAAAAATTAAATAAAAAGCTTAACCGTTGTACCTTGTCTGTCGTTTTTAATGAAACATGCATAAAGGAAGGATTGCTGCCTAAATATAAAACTATATATATATATATATATAATAAAATATTTCTACGGAATGATTTATTTATCTGTAAAGTGCTCAATATCAATGATATAGCTTATGTAAATATAGAAGTAGATACTGACGTTATCATCAATAAAATCCAAAGAAGAATCTACAATATTATTGGTCCTGATCTGGCATCCCGTACTTCAGTTAAATCCCACCGCCGTAATGTCCCTTCTTTGTGTCTTTTCTATGAATACTTTCATGATAATTGTTCTGATTAACTTTCCACTATGTTAGTTAGATTTTATAAATTTAATCGTAGTACTATATTGTCGGCAAGGTCACATTCTACAGTTGAAAGGGCTAGAAAAGCGAACATTGAAGTCAACACTTAGAGGCGACAGACTGTTTCATGCTAAACGCTATCATCAGTCCAAATGTGTTGCATTTTTTCTTGACTATATATATGGGCCAGTGGTGCATTGTGGGCTGTCTATTCTGACGGTTATTTTGGCGGGAGTGGTTTGTTAAATTGTTTATTTATTTAGATTAATTTATTTTATTTGTTTTTTTTTATATTTATTTTTATTTTATATATTTTTATTCTTTACGGATTTCGATTTTTTAAGTAACGTTGTAAAATTTTTGCGATGGCTTCTGACTGTTAATAGTTTGTTTTGGTCTGGGAAGGTAATTATAGCTATTTTTCGTCTACTTTTTGGATTGATTGTTGTACTCTACTCTAACGGTTCTTTTAGCCGCAGTGTTTTGTTAATTTGTTTATTATTAACTTTATTTAGTTCGCCTGATTATTTTACTTGTTTTTGCTTATTTATTTTTATTTATTGTTTTCGGTCTATTCTAACGGGAGAGGTTTATTAATTTGTTCATTATATGATTGGATTAATTGATTTACTTGCTTTTTTCTTATTTATTTATTTCTATTTAATATTTTTATTTTATTCGTTTCAGTTTTCGATTTATATGTAACAGTAACAATTTGTTTTCGTGTATGCATTTTGAGATGGATTCTGATCGTTTATTTAATAGTATGTTTTGGACTGGGACGGTTATAATAGCTATTTTTTCCCTGTAAGCAAAGTTTGCAGTTTTTCGATTGATTGTTGTAGGCTGATGTTCTTTTCCTCGTTTTCCATGTGATTTGCGTTTTGTTTTTAATTTCCTAGATCTACTTAGAAAAGGTTGTGCTGTTCGCGTATTTACTATTTGTAAAAAATGTTTTGTGTGCATAGTTTCTTTGCTTCCAGTGTCGTTCAGTTACTCCTATGTATATTTTTTCTTCCTTATCTGATGATTTTACCGTGGCTTGTTATATTACATTGTTTTGTAAGCAATTACTGTTTAAGGGACATTCGTTCTTTATTCTGCGGTTACACGTGGGTTTAAATTGTTCTAGTGGTTTGTTGATAGTTTTCCTTTTGTGCTTTTTAGTATTTGTATCATGCTCTTGGTGCAACTGTACTTGATTTTTCCTGTTGAATATTTTGTGTAGAGTGCCTGATTTGGGGAAGTGTTTGTGTAAGAGTTTGATGAATATTATTCCTACGTTTGTTTTTACATTTTTGCTGTATGGTGCGTTGACCCATATAAAGTTACTCTTCCTGCTTGATTTTTTTGTGCTCTGTGGTGAGTATGTAAATGTTGCAGTTAATCTACTATCTTTTAAGTTTGCTTCTTAGTCTTTCTTAGCTTCTTTAAATATGGTTTCATTGGAAGAAAAAGTCTGAGGTAATTGATTTTGGTATCTGCTTGATTATAGATGGCGGGTAATTGATATCTTTACTTTTATATTTACATACGCTCTATCTCTAATATTGAGCACTTTATGCCATAAATATAGCATACCATAAAACTATATTTCTTCTTCTTCTTCTTCTTCTTCTTCTATTATATATATATATATATATATATATATATATATATATATATATATATATATATATATATATATATTGTAAATGATCGCATGAAATTGTTAGCAGATGTACTGTCGTCTTCCGATTCTTCAGTCTCCCAGTGCTAATATCAATAAACTTTTCTATCTCTCTCTGAATATATATATATATATATATATATATATATATATATATATATATATATATATATATAAAACTAAAACTATCATCCCGACCCAGTCAATGTAACTGACTCTGTAGCTATATATTGTACCTCTTACTACCGCTCAGATTCGGACGAAAAATTTTACCTATTTCTATGCATGAAAATTTAGACATATTTTCTCCGTTTTTTCTTTGAATAATTTTTTTTAGTTTCTAAACATGATGCATGGTTACATTTACAGTTTAATATGCGTAACTTTTATTTTTCAATTAGAAAATATTGGAGATTAATTATTTATCCTAATTTCCTATATAATCTGATACATATTTTAAAGCATTAATAAAATGTATCATATACTTCTTATTTGATTGGACGTTATATCTTATGTAAAAAAATATTACCACAGTGAGAGGCAGTGTCTGGTTTTTAAACTCCTTAAAAACTCTTTATTTTACTTATAACACCATCACTTGACAAGACACCAGAAGTGTGGAAAAAATGGCTATTTTTGCAATGATGTTATAACATTTATGTCATAATTTGAAATAATATATATAT